CGGTCGTTCGCACGCCTCTTCTTACGGTAGCGTTGAATATTTACGGCCTCAACTATGACGTCACTCCCCCTGTGGTGATTGTGCATCTCCTGTACGTAGCGCGCTTACTCTAAATCTTTTTTCCCCAACTTTAGCAAGTATCCTATCTGCACACCTCCCCTCTTTACCAAAAGTATGTAGTTTTTCTCCCTGGTGTCGTATACCTATCATCGACGAAGACGTCACGGGTAGGACGACACCTGGGTAAACATTGGCAGCATTTAAACTTCTTCTAACCGACGCTCCACAGTGTACCCGAGGAAGGCCTATTAAGGAGGCCGAAAACGTTTGTACTCCAGTTAATAAGGCTAGAAATTAGTGAGAAAGGTTTTGTGCTGTTAGTCTTAGAAATAGTTCTAGCTACATATGCATAGTAGTATACATTAAAGATCTAGATTCATCTTCCAACTTCATATTACAATTAAAAATTAATAAATGCTAATAAGTTAAGAAATCCTGTCATTTTGAACTAATTTAAAGTTTGTTTCAGAAAATGTTTTATCTGCAATAAAAATGGTAGGACTCCTTGACTCATTAGCATTTGTGATTATTTGGTACATTAAAGATTATAATGAATAAGAAAAACAGCTGTCTGATGGTGTTAGAAAGATATTTAATAACATATAATTAAAATATAATTATAATTTTTTTAAAATGTATTATAAAAAATTTTAAATGTTTTATAAATTTTTTTATAGGTTATATGTTATGGCTTAAGTTTACCTCTCTCAGAACATGAAGCAATAAGAGACTGTGTACATGTATATTGTGAATGGATAATGGCTTTAACTAAACCAAAGGCATGTGTTCCAAAACCTGTATGTGAGGATCCAAATAATTACGCTAGAAGAATGATCCAACATCTATACAATCTGTTTTTGCCTCGTACTGATAGTGGTAATATTGCAATCTATTTTAATTATAATCAAAATTAATTATATTAAACATTAATGCATCTTATTCATAATCAGGTGGCGATGTGATAAGCCGACAAGCAATGCTATGCCACAGAGTATTGAGAACAATTAAAACAGTAGCCCAGGATTCCAATATAATGGAAAGAGAGACTTGGGATGCTTTGTTATTGTTTTTGTTAGCTGTAAATGACACTTTACTTGCTCCACCATCTTTACCAGGTAAAATGATAAGTTGAATGATTATAGTTATAATTATTATTGTATAAAAATAGATCTGTACAATGTGTTAATTTATTTTATGGAGTTTTTCGTTAAAATATTTAATAATTATCTGAATAGCCAGTTGGTAGAGTTATAAGGCTTATTAAACTGCAATGGAGCCAAGTAATTGAAATTACATAGAAAAAAAGACTTTTATTGGTGGAATGTTATATATTGTTTTTACAACTATTGTACAACATATCTATATTCATATTGTTGTGGTTGAGGAGGGTCCATTGAGGACTAAAATGCATTCCATCAATAAAAGTCTTTTTTCAATGTGATTTTGATTACTTGGCTCCATTACAGTTTAATAAGCCTTATATCTCTACCAACTGGCTATTGAGATAATTATTAAATTAATGTTTAAAGGCAAGAAGCTTACAATTACTTAACTAAGTACTTTTTATTATTTCAGTTTTCAAATATAAGGTGTGTTTCAAATTTATACGGACACAAAAAAATTAAAGTGAAACCCAAATTTGCTGCATTAAGTGACAAATGTTTTATTAAAAATAACATGGATTTACTTGTTTCCACACTGCAAAATAAGAATTTTAATCAAACATTAACATTTTGTCACTGAAAATAATATTTTTGAAAATTCTGTACAAAAAACTGTTACATATTTATCCGGACAGGCACTCATTTCATGACTTAAATAGAATATTGTTTTGTTTCAAGCATTGAAATATGCAAATCAGCTTACATATCTAATTGTAATACAAATTCTTTATGTTGTTCAACGTTCTAAAATGGGTAGAACAAAGAATTTATCTGATTATGAAAAAGGGCAGATTGATGCCTCTAAATCACAAGGCAAGTCAATAAAAGAAATTGCAGCATATATAAATCATCCAAAATCAACTGTTGGTGATTATTTATCAAAAAGACGTGAACCATTGAAAGCCTTGCCATTGAAAGACACATCTTGTCTCTAAAATTAATGCATGTGGATGTGAAGAGCTTTAAAAATCGCAATTGCCTCTAACCATTTGAGGTGTTCCGAGTGTGGGGTGGTGAGGATAATTCGTGCTCTGGTGAATTTGAAGCTTGCAGCACATCCACATGCATTAATTTTAAAGACAAGATGTGTCTTTCAATGGCAAGGCAGACTATACTTGACACCGACAGTTAACATTCAATCTTACTTACAGAAACACAGAAATGCATGTGCATAAGTTCTCGTTATTCAAACTCATCCTTGTACACATTTATTTTGAGTTCCAGCTTAATATTAAAGCCATTTTTTTCGACAACGATCATTATGTTCGAACATATTTAAACATATCATGAGAATGCATATGCAGAAGAGCTTCTCATATGAAATTTCCATCGCTCCATTCAAATATGTTTGAATTTCATATTCGTATTCATTTTAGAAGATCTGGCTAGTTTACAATTAAAAGATACCTGAAGAAGAACCCAGAAGGGGTTAAGAAAACGTTCGATTTTACAAGATTTAATCGTAATAAACACTGGTTAAAGGTTGAAGTGAGTCTAATTTTAGATATAGAAGTATAATATGTTTTTATTTAAGATATAAAAGTAATTAATATCATTTATTTTTTAAATTATTACTTTACAGTTCATTACAATTTTTAAAGTGTCATATTACAGCACTTTTTTTACTTTTTCTGTCCTTGATGCACCAAGTAGGTCTTTTTTCTATATTTATTATGATGGGTTTGACCAGATAGTGAGAAATGATCTGATGTATCCAGAATGGGCCACCCCTAAAATTCTTGGGGTTTTTCAAAATGTTTGGATTTGTTATAGGGTTCTCAGAGCAGTAGGCTAACATCTTAATTGCTTGGCCATCTGGCTGTCCACATTACAGCACTATGCTGGACAACTTGGTAATTTATTTATTTACCTGTAAGGCCTAGAACACAATAGTAATTTTAGCTAAGCAACACTTTAGTCAACAAAATGGAACACATTTATTTGAATGTAAATACTTAAGCTTACAGCATTTAATTATAGCAGCTAGAAAATTACATGCTGTATTTTTTTCAGGCAACGAAACTGTTGATTTTCAGAAGAGAACAAAAGAAATTCAGTTGAAATAGCACACTAATGATTGTTTAGTTGCTGACTCACTAATAAGTGTAGCAACTAAACAATCACTGGTGTGCTGATTTGACAGCTGAATAGCTGAGCAGTTAAGGTGTCAGGCTAAGCTCTGGGAGACCAAGAAACAAATTTAGGCAAGTTGAAAAACCCCTCAGGAATTTTTTGGGGTAGTCCATCTCTCTCTATTCAGCCATCCCATTGTGGATCTGGCCAAACTTGACAAAAATGAACTTGATAAAAAGGCCCTCTTAGTGCCCACAGGACAGTTAAAAAGAAAAAAGTGTGCTAATTTTTGCACTTCATTAAAATTTAAAAATTACCAATAAAAATTATGATTTGAAAATTTATTGTTTTATCAATAATAAAAAAGAGGTGTAATTTTTCACTGTAAAGTTAAACTTTTCCATAATATTGACAGAAGTCAAAGCTGGAGTGTCACATACGTAAAGAAATTGCCAATTTTAAAATTCACATAAATAATAATACATTGGGAAAGTTGATCATATTAAGATATTGTGAAAAAGTTTTTAAGACATATTAATGTGTTTGATTTCAATAGAACAATATATGTGAATAATGGCATACACATTTATTCACTTTCAGAAAACCTGATATGATTGGAAAAATGGATAAAAGTTCTAAAATTTCCATTAAAAATTACAAAAAAAAAATGATGTAATTTACAAACATTTATCAATAAATTTGTCTGTAGACTTGTATTATTATAAATATATAATTCATGCCAGTTATATAATATTTTAATTTGTTTATTTCAGATGATATCGGTAGTCAGTTATGTGAAAGAATATTGGGTGTCTTATTTGAAGTTTGGTTATTAGCTTGTCGTCGATGTTTTCCAACTCCTCCATTATGGAAAACATTTCGAGAATTATGTTGTAGTTGGCACCATCGTATTCCTTTAATAGATCAGTGGAATAGAGTAAATTTGGTACTTACTGTACATGTTTTGAACTTTATGTATGGTATAAATTTTTCAGAAGTCAAAATACGTAAGTAAATAGTTTGGTAATTATTTTTGATAAACACTCGTTTTGTTTTAGAGATAACTATTTTAATTTTTTTTTGTTTTATTTATCAGCCAAAGAGGATAAAATTTTGATCCCTTCAGATATGACAAATGAATGTGTTGCTCAAGCATGGTTTAGATTTTTGCATACTTTAGGAAATCCTGTAGACCTGTGTCGACCCGAAGTAATTAGTAAAATGCCTAAATTTCACTGTTACAATAATAAAATTTTGATGGATAATTCTTATCATCCATGTCTTAATAATTTACCTCATATATTTTTAAAAGCAATGAAAGGCATTGCAACATTGGTTGATGCATTTTTAGGTAAGTTTTCGTTGTTTTGAAACTAGAGAGAGATTCAATTTAATATTAAATTATATGCAAGCATGAATATAACTTTATAGAAATAAATATAAACTTTGTCATTTAAAGAAAAATAATGGATGTAAATTTTGGAATTTGAATTGTTTTAAATAGTGATATTTTCATTTGATGATTCTTCTCTTATTTGAAATTTTATTAATTACGGTATTTATAATACAGCAGAAAAAAAAGGATTTGATTTGTTGATTATTTTTCTGTTTAAAAATATTTTACGAATTTTAATTTGTTTTGTACTTAGTAATCTTTCTTTATTTGGTATTTTATTTTATTAATCCCTTCATATAATTAAAATTTAAATCATAAAAATTAGTTCACACTTGCAATTAAGAATTGGAGTATTTCTGTTCTTGAAAAAAAAAAAAAAAAAGTCATTTGTCTAAAAGAGTTTACATTGCTATGTGATGCATTATTTTTTTTAAGAAAAAGTTTGTAATTTACTACATAATGTTTATTAAGAAAATATAATAAGCATTAAATGTATCAATTTTAAATTGAATTATATTTAGGAATGGCTCAAGTACATTATAATGAAGCTGATGACAGCTGTCAAAATCAAAAAGTTCAAACCAGTACAACACAAACTAATACATCTGCAACTCCCCCTCATAACAGAAGAAGTCTTACAAAAAGTTTAGTTGCTGCATCTGCTAAAGGTTATTTTATTTAAAATAATTTTGCAATGAAATTTTAATAGAAAATGAAAGAAAACTTTTAGAAAACTATTGGGTATATTTTAGCTGGTGTGCAGCGAAGCGGATTAATTGCTGGTTTGACAGGTTCTAAAGGAAGTTCTGCTAATATATCAACTTCTCATCAAGATGCACAACCTCCATCAGTCAGTCAATCACCTATTGCTACTCCCACTGCCCCACTTCCTCCACCACTTCGTCCTTTACCGTCACCTTCAAGACCGAAATGCAACTCTATTCTTCATCTTTTTGGTGCTTGGCTCTTTGAAGCATCTCTTATTGGTACTGAATTAGCATCATGTTGTTCTGATTCTGATCGTAAGTTTTGTAGAGAATTTATGTGAAAAATTTATATTAATTAAATACAGTAGAGTGTCGATTATCCAAATCAATTGGGGACTGGGGTTGTTCGGAAAATCGATATTTCGGATAACCGATTATGTACGAAAAAATATATTAATTTATCCTATGTTGAAATTTTTCTTCGTTGCGTATCGCTTTGTGTTGAATTTTCGTCGATGTTAAGCCTAACGAAGACTATTGTATTGTTAAAAATTATTTTTTATTTTGTACAAACAAAATAAATATATTGAAAAATATAAAAAACAATAAAAAATTATACTTCAGAAGTTAATTTAGTATCAAAAACATAAAATATTTGAGTACCCCAAGACATAGCCAAAGATTGCAGCGCCACAGCACTGGTGAAAATTTAAATTTGCCAACTGGAATTCTTTCGGATAATTGACATTTCGGATAATTGACGCTCTACTGTAGTGTTATGTCAAATATACTCTATTTATTGTTAATATTTTAAAATTTAGATAAATAAAGAAAAATTATATAAATTTATTTTTGATTGAAATGCACTAAACTTGCATCTAAATAAAGGGAACTTCTTGTTAAGGAAGCCGAAAATAAAAATTTATTATGTACATTTTCAGCCTACTGTTTAACCAGTTTCAACTAATTTTGTCCAGCAACAAGCTTCATCATTAGCTGAAGCTGGCCAAACAGTAGGTTGGAACCATTTGTAATAAATTCTTATTTTTGTTTTAACAAAAACTTTGCATTTTCTTTTATTTATTTAAATTTATATTTAATTAAGAATATAATTAAGAAGTCAGAAATTTGTAATGGTGACTACATAATGTACTGCACACTCAAAACTGAGTCCAAAGAAGTGGTGTTACACAAAATTAGGGTTCAATCAACTACCAAGTGCAGAAGATAAATTTTTATTTCTTTACAGACACACTAAGGTGACATTATTCAACACTTGGCAGATTATTCGCAACTTTATTCAGTTGATCCAACTGAATAATGTCACCTTAGTGTGTCTTAGTGTTGAATAATGTCACCTTAGTGTGTCTGTAAAGAAGCAAGATAAAATCAACATGGTTTCATCAGAATCAAATAAATTTTTATCAAGAAATTATATAACTTGATGAGATTAATGATTTATTTCGGAAATTTCTAAAAATATTCTGTTTAAATTATTAAGAGGCTGTATAAATGTGTTAAGTAAATACGTAGAAGCTATTGAAGTAAGAGAATGCTTCAAAAGATTTGAATGTAATAAATGATGTATTTAAAAAATGTAATACATTAATACAATGGAGTCCACAAATTTGACTTAATGTGGACTGAGGAGATGACAAGTTATTGAAAATGATGAGTTTTACAGCATAGCAATGATGCTAGTCTAAATAGTGAAAAAAGGTATTACCATATTTTACGGACTATAAGACGCACTTTTTTCTTCGAAAAATTGCCTCCAAAATTCAGGTGCATCTTATACTTGAAATTAATATAAAAATGTCCAGTGTTTGATTTAAAATTCCTGCATCTTAAAAATGGCCATATATTTGATGCTGCGAGAAACCTATCTCTATCTGGCAACACATTGAATTCAACTGGCAGCAGCAGTGCACCAATGCGACGAACATGAGTTGCGTGGTGTTGGGATAGAATTGTCTGGACGTACGATTTCCACACTTTTTCTCTTTTCAAATGAGCAACGGTTGTTGCCATAGAAACTCGGATCATGAGATGACCGGTGGTTCTGAATCCATGACTGCAGATTGGCCAGTGATCATCGTGCAACCATTGTACGATCAATGGACATCCAATAGTGCTACTAAGTGTTGATTGGTGGATCAGCGTTTGCTTCAGTTCGTATAAAAGGATTGATTTTAGGTGGTAAAAATGGTAAAAATGTTTTTTTTTTTTTTAAATTGCTTAAAAATTAAGTTGCGTCTTATAGTCCGTAAAATACAGTATGTGTGAAAATTTCTACATGTATTAACTACATACCAATAATGACTATTTGTATTTATAGCTAAATTTTAATTTTAAAAATATCAGCTATTTTAATAGATACTTTTCAGTTAGTGACATTTGCATTGTGGCATTTTGCTGTGATACCTTGTAAAAGGGTTATATTCTTTGTTAATATGTAGAATTAACACTATTATCTAAAATGCCAGTGAAGGACAATAACTTATTTGATCCTTGTGTCAAGTTATAGAGATAAAAATTAATTACTGTACATGTATTTCTCTTTTTTGGACAACATGATGAATTTTATGAAATGTCAAGTTTCTGAAACTCTACTGTATTGATATAGCAATTAATACAGATTTTCTCCATTTTTTTACAAAAAAGCTACTTACGTTAAGATTTATAATACAAATATTAGATGATTAAAAATTATATTGAGACAGATTTGAAAACAAAAGTTCCAAAAAATCATAACCGGAATAATAAATCTCAGTATACTGATCATATATTTAACAGGTTATTATGCAATTTTATTTAATTTGGATCTTTTTAATTTTTTATTTGATACAAAAATTAATGAAAATGAACTTACATAACTGTATATTCCAGCTCATCTGTTTAATATAAACATTGATAGTGCTTGATTTCATGTGAAAAACTAAAGGTAGAACAAAGAAAACTTTTAATAGTGTCAAAATGACAGCATAGCTTTTTAACTAATATAACCAGTAGAGCACTATTTGATGTGATATCAAACATATTGAAAATTTTTCAGTTTATAACTGTGTATTTTGTTGTAAAAAATATTTACAAAAAACTGTTTATCAGTTATCAAAGTTTTTTGTATTTTATCATATATAATTGTATCCTTTTTCTATAAAGGATTTTTGTTAATTATCTAACTAGAATGATTAATTTATTTAGTAGAAAGTATATTAAACATTTTTTTTTTTTTTTTGTATTACATGTATGAGAAAACAAAAATACTTTCTGTATCATTTATGACATTTATTATTTATCTGATTATAATGTACATATTTTTTTATTTATACTAGAAGTCGATGGAATACGTCGACGGCATAATTCTCTTGTGATAAATTCTCGACCAGAAGGAGCATCACCAGATGTGCCGTTCACTTTAAGTATAGAAAATTTTGAGGCGGGACAAGCTGAAGCTATTGGTGCATTATGTCGTTTGTTTTGTGCTAAACGTACTGGAGAAGAAATTTTGCCTGTTTATTTGGCTAGATTTTATTTAGCTGTACAATATGGTCTTATGGATGGTGAAGTAAGGGCATAATTACTTATAAAATATCTAAATTTACTTTCTTAATTAAAAAAAGATATATATTATATTGAATCTAAAATCTTATTTTGATAATTGCATAAATATTTTTCAGTATTTTAACATTAAATAGGTTTTAAGTTTAGTATAAATTATACGTTATTACACAAAATACATGTATAATACAAAATACATACAATACACAAAATTATTTGACAAATTGCATTGTGGCATTTTATTTGACAATAGAATAGACATGCATATTCAATACATGCAATATTACATTAACATTAAATTATCATCACAATTGTTTCTCTTGTAATATTTAAATTAGTTAGTAGTTATATTTGCAAAACTAATACCTTGTATAACAAACAATTTAAACAATATTTTTAACAATTTAAAAATGAATTCATATTTTTAAATTGTTTGTTATACAAGATATAGGTGTTGAATAATGCATTTAAAATCAAAAGGTTTTCTTACGAGGGCTATTTTTTAAATAAGGTCCATTTGTGAATGAGAGTGAGAATGATGCGTGATTGCAGCAGTGTGCATGAGCATCTGCTTTCAGCATACTTTGCACATGTTTAGATGCCATTTATATAAGTTTATAATATTTAAGAAAATTGAGTCGCCCGCTGACTGTAACATACGACCTGTTATTTGAATTCAGCACAAAAGATCATGGTAACTGTCTTTTGGGACAGGAAAGGGTTAGTGGATTTTATGCCAAGAGGCACAACAATCGATTCTGATGCTTATTGTGACCTTGAGAAAACTCTGCCGTACCATACAAGACAAGCAGTGTGGCCTAATGTCTTCCGCCGGCAGATGGCAGATTTCTCTGAAGTCGGAATTAAAAAATTTTCAAACGGTATGACAAATGTTTGAACAAAAATGGAAATTATGAAGAAAAGTAGATAAATAGAATAAGGGAAAAAATATAGTTTAATGATATTTACAGTATTTTTCTTCTTATTAAAAAATGGACCTTATTTAAAAAATAGACCTCGTACATTTAAAAAAGTAATTATATATTATATAAGAAAATCGGTTATGTTCTATTCTGTTCTAGGAATGTAGGTAATATAAAATGAACTTTACTATTAATTCAAGAATTTATAATTAATTCTATATGGTATAAGATTTTATTAATCAATTCATTGTATCAAGTTAATAAACTTAAAGCCTTTTTTGAATTTTTTAAAATATTAAAAGAATTTTTTATATTTAGGCTCGTGGATTGATTCTTTCCAGTATTTTATTAAATTCTTGTGATCTGTTGCGTCAAGATTTGGATGGTGTCATGGTTTTGGTTCCACATCTTCTTCATGCATTAGAATTAGTTCTTCCTGAAAGAGAATTGAAAATTAAGTGAGTTAAACTTAAATATTTTTAAAAGGTTAAAATTTAAAAAAAAAATGTTCCTATTAAATAAAATTGAAAAAATACTTTATACATTGGAAACTTTTAAACAAGTTATGATGTAATGTGATTATCTATTTGTTTGATATAATAAAAAAAATTAATATTTTTATTTGATGCTGCCATCTTTCATCTTTCATATTAAATTTTTTTCTGAGTATATATATAACAATTTATAAAAATAATCATATATAAAGATTTTTTCAATTAGTATTTAAAATCTTTATTCTTGATATTTTAGCAAATTATACAAAATCAATATTATAAGAAATCAATGAATTTTGTTACTTATTGAAACTTTTAATGATCAAACAATTTATATGAAATTCAAAGAAATGTCACCACATCCTCTGTTTGAAAAAATAAAATGATTGTATTCATTTAAAAATCTGTAACATTAACTATTAGATGCTTATACTTAAACTTTATTGCTATTTAAATAATATATATTAATATTACATTGCAAAGAACTTTTGTGTATCTAGTTATTAATTCAAAATATTATTATATTAATTTATTTGAAGTAACTTTTATGTTTTGAANGTAGCCATATTCTGTTTCCTTAATAAATTACATTAAGTCAATACAAAATAATTATTTTTGAATATGAATATTCATTGAAATAGATTTATGTATATACATACTAAATCATGGTGCTAAATAAAAATTACTACTTATAAGTATGATCTAATTTTTAGTTATAGAAGGTAGGAGGAAATTTGTATCAGAAAGTTAAAGATTTGTTATGCATAAAACAATTCAGCATTTTGGATTATTTATGTCTTAATTGCAAAATTTGATATATATTTTTTGTCCTAGAGATATTTCTGAAATTTTTAAATAATTGTTACAATCATATTTATAATTAATATTAGTAGAATTGAAAGAAAAACTATTCAGCTAATAAAAAAAAATATATAATAATGGATGTGTTCTACATACTATACTGAATTAATTAAGAAAAGTTTATTGTTTAAGATTTTGGATGTAATCTAAATTTAATCTTATTTCTCTAAGTAATAGAATAATATAATAGTTCAAAACATTATGTATTTCTTTATACATATTAATGAATAAATTACATTGAGGCATCAGTAAAAAATTTACTTTGTTAATAATAAAATAATTGAAAGATCTCATTTATTTATCCAAACAATTTATTAGTTTTGTTATCTGTTAAAACTAATTTTTAATGTTTATTAATTTGCAATATATGAGGGTTACTCTGAAAGTTTTGCAATACAAGAAAATCATCCATGATGAATTAAACTGTTTATTTTTTTTTTAATAATAAACTTTATATGACACATCATGTATAAACAAATTTCATCAATCTTCCCTAATGTAAGTGAGACAGGCCCTGTTTCTAATAGTAACAGTGGAATTTTCTAGAGAAGCATTTTGTGCAATGATTTATTATGATTCTTGTGTTGGACTGAATGACAAGGACTGTTATGAGAGATTGAAATTGGCTTTAGGAAATGATGCTCCATCCTTTACTACTGTGTTCAGGTGGTGTAAAGAATTTGAGGGGTCATACTTCTTTCCAAAATAAATCATGTGAAAGATGACCACAAACAGCAGTGACTCCTGAAAATGTTATTGTTGCCCAACATATAATTGCAGAAGACCAAAGATGTACTATGAAATGATACAGGAGAGACTACAGATTGGAGCCATACAATTGCAGACATTCTGCATAAGGAGTTACAGTTAAAAAAAAGTAATGTCACAATGAATACCTCATCAGTTGACAGATTTTCAAAAGTCAGAGCATGTCAGGATTGCTAAGAAAACTCTGGAAATGTTTAACCAAGGTGAACAACAGATTATTTTCAAGATTATCACAGGTGATGAGACAACCATTTTATGATGGTTCCACACATCAAGAAAGCCAAGTTTGGATCCATAAAGATGATCCAATTGCAACAGGCATGAAAAGACAGAGGGCAATAAAAAGTCATGTTTACTGTTTTTTTCTGTAGCACTGGTTTGGTGAAAGCAACTAAGCTTGAAGAACAGAAGACAGTAATAGCTAATTGATACACTATAGTTTCTTTAATTAATTAATTAATTAATTAAATTGCCTCAATGTCCTTTTTTTTTCTTCTTATTAATATGTAAATTTTCGAATATAAATTTATATCTTCTATTATCAGGACTTATTATACTGGTTTTACAGATAATATTACAAAGATGAACAGAAAACAATTTTTATTTTTATTTTATTTCGTATACCTGGTATACGAAATAAAATAAAAATAAAAATTGTTTTCTGTTCATCTTTGTAATATTATCTGTAAAACCAGTATAATAAGTCCTGATAATAGAAGATACGAATTTATAGTAAAAAATTTACACTATAGTTTCTCTTTCTAGAATTTTGGAGTCACTGAAAATTTGAGGTCTAATTTTGCATCATGATAATGCTTTGTTGCACACTGCCAACAGACTGTTGATTTTCTTCAAGCTAAATAATGTCAGAATCATTGAACATCCACCTTACCAGATTTGGCAATGTGTAACTTCTGGCTATTTTTTAATCTCAAAAAACATTTGAGGAGTTGCAAATTTAACACAGAGGATGAAACCATAGCTTCCATAACAGAGTATTTTGATAGCATTGAAGAAAACGAGTGGTGCCATGCTTTTGATCTTTGGAAGCAATGATTACATAAGTGCATTTTGGCCAGAGGAGAGTATTTGAACATAAATAAAAAATATTTTGTTTCGGGCCTTATAGTATTCCTGTATTGCAAAACTTTCAGTTACCCTGTATAACAAAAATGAACAAGAACATCAAATTTGAAGCTTATAAATTAGTTAGCAGATAAAAACTTCATGATTCTACAATTTATATGTTATTTACTCAACAGTTAAAAATAAAAAGTGATTTTAAAAATTGTCAATTTTTTTAATGTAACTTTCTATACTGTAAAATTCTACAAAAGTCAAATTTAACCTTTTGTCAGGCACAGTCTGTATTTTAAAACAATCAGGTGCAACCCATCCTGGAGACGGACAGTTTTTGCTTCCAGATTGAATAATATTTACCATTGTTTTCTTCATTATCATATGTTATAATTATTTATTTGAAAAAAAATAATATATACATAAAAAATCAATACAAATTACTAAGGAAAATAGGGAGGAAATAATATAACATATCACTACTCTAAGCACTATTTGAAGCAGGCATTGAGATTTACTTTCATGATCATTTACTAAAATTTTTTCTGCACTTAGGTTGCTTTCACTTCCATCTTGTACAGTAGTTTTTGCATTTCACTTCTCCTCTTCTGAATGATATTGAAGAATGCAATAGTCAGATGAATCTATAAAAATGTCATACTTGCAATTAAAAGCATAAAAGTTGTACAAATCAATGAACCAATCTTTTCCTATGGTAAAAAATGTAAAAACACAAACATAATATAATAGTTGTAACTTATAATCTATCAATTATTTATAATACAAAATAAATGTTTGCTTTTGTTCAAAAATAAATATTATTAAAATTCTTAATGTTTACTAATGAAAGTAAGGTAAGAAAGATAAAAATAGCAGAAAAAAATGAAAGAATTACTTTTTCCACACATACACCATAACATAAGCAGGTACAATACATAATGAGGACAAGTTATATGTATTTCTTCTGAAAAAAGCAACTGTTTTTCAAAACCAAAACACTCCTTACTCCTGTATTGTTTAGTGTACTCATTGCTTCAAAACTACACCTCCTCTTCAGGATGATTGCATGCTTTTGGAATCAGTAGTGTGTACATAAGGAAAAAAATATTGTCCTGAGGACAGGGTCACATTGTACAAAATGTTAATGAGAGGAGTTCATGGATGATAATGCTTGAATTATGATTAATCTAGAAATATTCACTGATTAAATTTTTTATAAGTATTAATATAGCTATTTTTCTATATGAAAATATTATACATAGTGCTTTTGTGCTAAGAAAGCATTCTCATAATCTGTAGCTGTATAAAAAATTTATTAGATATTTTACTTCATGGTTTAAATTAGTGTCATAATATTTTATTTGTTGACTATAATTTGTCTTATCAAGTGAAGTCTATTAATATACTTTCATATCTGAATGAGTACTAATTTGAATTAATTTTTTGAATAATTCTGTTGTTAAGTTTATATTTTAATGAAAATAAATTTTACAGGGTGCCCCCCAATGAAACTGTCACACTTGTCTTAAGCAATAAAACACAAACAATTTTTTATTTTTAATCTATACTAATATTATAAAGAGGTAATGTTTGTAAGTTTGTTTGCAGCAGGTAATCTCTGAAACTACTCATCCGATTTCAAAAATTCTTTCACCAATATTTAGAATGGAACTTCAGGGTGGACATAGGCTGTATATAGGCTGTATATTATTTCATTAAACATTCATATAAATTAAAAGATATCATCTAGGGTTAAGGCTTTTATGTCCAACAGATGGCGCTACGAGTACGACGCCCTAAGTTTGCTTTTCTGTGAGGCATTATGCTTTTCTGTGAAAATGAACTAAAGCAGATCATCTTCTATCTATCTATATAAATAAAAATGTAATGTTCGTTTGCTCCTACCGATTCCTTTGAAATTTTCACACAACACTGCATTCAAATACGCACGTGTTTTTATATAATATACATGTCGAAATCCCCCCGGGAGATGGACAGGATTAAGGCTTACCGTAAAGTACTCTGCTTCTATTTATACTATTTTAGATGCGGTTTTTTTGCGTTTTTGATTGCGTTTTAATAGGGTATGTCAATAGAATATACACTACAAAGAGATTTTTCGATATTCCCCCGCGGGGGAGAGGTTCAGGATTAAGGCTTACCGTGAAGAACTTGGCTTCTATTATACTATTTCAGATGTGGTTTTTTGTGTTTTTGATTGCGTTTTAATAGGGTACGTCAAGAAAATGTACAATAAGGGAT